AGAAATGTTTTCCCCCACGGCAAGTTTCTGTGCCAAGAATCTTACACGTGTCACACAATTCAATTATTACTGGACTGAGCCGCAGTGGGGCCTAGTGAGTGGAGAGCTGGCCTCAAAGCCAAGAAGATGTGAGTTCTAGTCCTGCCTCTGACACATAGCGACCCTGGGCAAGTCCCTTACCTCTCTACTTCCATCAGTTTCCTCATCTGAACAATGAAGGGGCTGGTCTAAGAGATCTGGAGTCCCTTCCAAATCTATGTTTATGATTCTAGAGATGTCCTTTCCAGCTAAACAGGCACTTAAAATAAAACAGAAGCATGGAGAGGTAGCAGAGGACTATGGAGAGACTTAGTCAACAGACCCAGGTTCGAATCCTTCCTCTCATACCACCTTTGCGACCAGGAGGAAGTCCCTTAAGGTTAGAGAGATTTACTTTTCTCGTTATAAAACAGGGACAATAATACCTGTAGCACTTATCTCCCAGGGTTGATGTAAGAATCTAAAGAGATAATGAGATGCCCTCAGGTCCAACCTCTTATTTATAGGTAAGGAAACTGAGGCCCAGAGAGATGAAGTGATTGGTGCCAGGTCACCCAGGTAGTAAGGAGTAGAACTAGGATTTGAACCCAGGACCTCTGATTCAAAATCTGTCGCTCTTCCTACTGTTCTGAGCTGCTTCCGTAATGTTTTGAAAATTGCATGCATAATTTATCTCTGTGTGATTCATTCGTATAGTTTCTGTTTGTTTGCATCATTCATGCCGTGCTTTGTAAATCTTCGAGCTCCGTGTAAATGTCAGCTCTTGTTACGGTGAAACCCTGCCCTTCCTCTGGTGCTGCTGTGATGCTCACAACCAGGGATGCCTGGGGTTTGGGGCACCGACCCAGGCAGTGCCAGACAGCTGCCTCTTCATCCCCAAACCTCTTTTCACACTGGAGCCCTGTGACCTCATTACCTTGAGGAGCTCCTGGCGTCATATCCCTTCACCAAAGCAGAGCTTACGCTCTCTGAGCTGCCTGAAGGCAACAAGAGCTTAAGTGACTCACCCAGGGAGATGCCCAGGGTCAAGACTCGAACCCATGTCTTTTTGAGTGCTAAATTGGCTCTCCATGCTCTATTCACTATGCCAAGCTGTCTCTCTCAGCGCGGGGTGATTAAGAGGATCAAACCATATAAAATATCTTATAAATCTAAAAACAATATGTACAGATGTCAGATATTTATCATGAACAAATGATGAGGATCACCAGAATTCCCAGCAGAATCAAAGCCGCCTGTCCTGGGGTCACTCAACTCCCTCCCCATCCCCAGCCAAATCAAAGGGTAGCCCGGGCCTTGCAGGCTACCCAAACAGCCCAGACTCCAAAGAAAGGGTGGGGTTTGGGAGGTCCCCTGCAGCTGAACTGCAAGGAGTGATTGCTCCCCTCCCTGATGCTCTACAAAAGAAATGAGTCCAAAGGTCACGCATCCCCTGGGAGAAGACCTCCTTATTCTCCAGGAGGAGACAAGTCCACTCAGGCCAGCATCCTCTCTCCTCCAGGTAAGCAAGGGGCAGGCAGCCAGGAAGAAAGGCAAGCAGAAACAAGGTTTCCATTCCTTCACGCTAAGCCTAGTTTAACTCATTCCTGGCTCAGAGTCATCAAGCTGACCCCAGGGGCTCCTCAGAAAGAATGGCTCCTTCCACAAATCTACCCACCAAGAGTATGATCTCCAAGAGCTTCTGCTACATTTAGGAAGAGACTACACCAGGGTTCTAGAATTCAAATTTTAGAGATTCTCTTCCAAAAAAAATCCAGTTCCTTCCTCGATGGTTTCTCCTTCCCCAACTCCTACCAGCTTGCACCAATCCAGCCCTTCCTACTCCCCGGCATATGGTCAAAAAAGAAATCTAGATTTCCCCAGTTTATCCAACCCAGACCATCAGAGTCCCCGAAAAGAACAAATCTGGGAAATTCTAAGGTAGAGAAGTCTCATAGCAAATAAAGTCCCATCATGTGCCTCCCATTCCAAGAGTAGGAGCAGAAGTGAGGGGAGTGTCCTGGCTTGCATGTGCTCAGACCTAAATCACATTGGCAAGGGTAGAGAGAGGATCTGGAGTGCCCCCAGCCACTGACCATTTGATCTTCTAGGTGAAAGAGGCTTTGGGGAGCTTTGGAAATGTCTTGAAGAAGGAGGTGAAATCATCAGATCTTTGCCTGAGGAAGATCTAATGAGAAAAGATATACCAAAATTCTGAATGAAATTAAGAGTCTACCAAGGTCCAGATAAAGGTCTAGAGTCTACACCTTCCATCTAAGAGGGTGGAACCTGAATTCCATTTACTAACTCTATGAACTTGGGCAAATCATTTCACTTCTTGGATTTCTCCTTTGCAAAATGGCAGAGTTGGGAGGAGGTGGGGAGGGTGTTGACCGAAATGACTTCTAAGCCTCCTGGGTTCAAATCCTATCTCTGACATTTGCTTGCTGTGTGACCACAAGCTAGGCAGCGAACATTCCTGAGATGAAGTTTCGTCTGAAATTGGGATCATAATACCTGTAATACCCACCCCACAGGGCTATTGAGGCTTAACTGAGGGAGGGTCCTGTGGACCTTTACTACCTTTAAAACTCTATGTAAATGAACATTATTATTCTCACCATCTATCCTCTACTCTTTTGAGTTGTGGTGCTGCAGAAGACTTGAGAGTGCCTTGGACAGCAAAGAGGTCAAATTTGCCAATGCTTAAAGAAATTAATTCAGCCTATTCACTGGAAGGTCAAATACTGAAGATGAAGCTTAAATATTTTGGCCACAGTGAGAAGATGGGACTCGTTGGAAAAGACCCTGATGTTGGGGAAAGATTGAAGGCAAAGGGAAAAGGGGAGGGTAGAGGATGAGATGGATAGAGAGTGTCATGGAAGGGATGAGCATGAGCTTGAGTAGACTCGGGGAGACAGTGGAGGATAGAAGGGCCTGGAATGCTGGGGTCTGGAAGGTCTGAATTCAAATCCAGCCTCAGACACTTTCTAGCTGTATGACCTTGGACAAGTCACTTAACTCCTATTTGCCTCAGTTCCTCACCTGTAAAAATGGGAACACAACGGAGATGGAAAAGGCAAACTACTCCAGCATCTTTGTCAAGAAAATCCCACGGTGAAGGGTCAGACATGACGGATTAACTGAACAACGACAATCCTCTACCCTCAACAGCTCTTGGTAACAGGCCTCTTCATGAAAGTGAGCTTCTAAGAGCCTGAGCACCCCAGACTGGAAAGCCACAGACACAGCCCCCACTTCTCAACTTAATGACAACAACTATTCACAACATGAGGGACCCAAGGAAAGAAAATAACCGACCCTGCGGGCAATGAAGTAGTTCACAATACATTTGGGGTGGGGGGAGACCCACACACAGACAAGTATAACATATGTTGGATATGATGACGTCCCTAGGAAGGGCAGGCAGTGGCATGAGAGACTGAGGCAGGGGGAGAAATCCCACCTAGATGTGTTATTTAGCTCAGGGTTGTACGGAGAGGGTGGCCCCAGACTTGGATGTTGTAGGAAAGATGGCAGAGAGAGAAAAGAATCTGTCCAAGCATAGGAGGTAATGTGAGCTCTTCACAGAGACAGGAGAGAGCAAAGTGAAACTCAAAATTGGTGTCTACTCTGAGAATGACCAGCGCCTTCCTTGGCAGAGCCAGCAGCCAGTGTAGAAGTGCCCTTCACGGACGGGGATTAACAAATGATCCCAAATTTCTAGTGGCCGAGGGCATTGCCTAGGATGCTGAGAAGGGACGTGCCCAGGCTCACAGAGCCGGCTCAAGTCACAGCTAGGTCTTAAAGCTGGCCCATTCTGACTCCAAGGCCCCCCTCTCTCCACTGAGCTGTGACCTTTAAGTGCCAACCAAGATTATTCCTGCCACGTGTACGACTTAGTTATTTACAGTGTTTTCCTCCTGACCTTGCGAGTGCCCCCAGTGCCTTCTGTCCTTTTAAAGTTCTGGTCACAGTCATTCAGTACTCACTGACCAATGGACAAACTCCATTCTATTCCATTTAGCCCAGGCTAAGTTCAGAGGATGCCCTGCTAACCCCCCGTAGGCTACCCTTTGCTCATTCTATCTTAAAGAGTCCTACAACAAAATAAGGTAGATGGCGCAGTGGATAGAGCACCAGGGCTGAAGTCAGGCAGACTTCCTAAATTTAAATCTGGCTTCAGACACTTACTAGCTGTGTGACCCTGGGCAAATCACTTAACCTTGTTTGCCTCAGTTTCCTCATCTGTAAAATGAGCTGGAAAAGGCAAACCACCCCACTATCTTTGCCAAGAAAACTCCAACTGGGATCACAAAGAGGCGGACATGACTGAAAAACAAAGTAATCGTTCTACAATTGTATAACCAAAGTCAAGGCCCAAGACAAATTCCTGAGATTTTCTAATCGAGTATTTTTGAAAAGCACTTTCTTTTCATATGGAGAATTCCTCATTCATTTCTCTTCTGAGTCTGTCTTAAAACATAAACATACATAGGATCAAAGAACACAGGTGCATCGATTTAGAGCTGAAAGAGACTTCAGAAGCAATCCAATCCAACCTTCATTTGCTAAATGTAAAAACTGAGGCTCGGAGGTTTGCCAAAGGTCACACAAATAGTAACTAACAAAACTAGGACCTAGAAGTTATAGAGAAGAAAACTGAAGTCCCGAGAGGAGAAGCTTGTCCAAGCTCCCATAGCTCTTTGGAAGAACCAGGATTTGATCCTGGGCCTGGTAATCAATGGCAAGTACACCCATGGGGGCTTGGAAGGGACAACCCAGCAAGTCAGGCCAGAAATCATCTGTCATCCACTGGTACAAAGTACTTGCCAGCCTGGATGGCTTTAAAAAAGCTGGGTGAAGTGAATTGAGTCTGAGGTCCCTTCCAGCTCTCAACTGGGGATGAAGACAAAGAGGAAGAAGAAACAGAGAAATGATCATGGTCAAGACCCCAAGTCAAGTACATTTAATAACCTTACCGCAGATGTGAGACGGACAAGGAGCTCATCACTGGTTTCTCCTGTGTCTTCAATTTTCTGATGGGGCCTGAAAAATAAACAGCTAATTACTTTTTAGGGTTTTTTTTCCAGTTTGGCTGTATTATCCATATCATGCAGAAAATCGGGGACAAATAGCAACCATTTACCATGCCATCACAAATCCCAGATGGAATCACAAAAACACTTGGGTGACTCGAATCCCACATTAGTGCAACTATTCTCCTTAAATCAATAAGCATGTTGCCAAACTCGATTAATCATAGGCATAAGAATTGTTCTCCAAATCTCACCCAAAGATGACACTGATAGATAAGGTTTGGGCCCAGATGGCAGAATTAGGAACAATGGGTGGGAGTAGCTCAGAGGCAAATTTCAGCTGAGGGTGATAATGGAGAGAATACTCTTCTTGGGAAGGTTTTAGAGAGTATTCTTGGTCAGGTACAAGTTAGAACAAGCAGCCTCCCAGGTTCCTTCCAACTCAAATTCTGTGATGAGGAAAACTTTCCTGACAATTGAGGCAATCCCAACATGGAATGGGCTGCTTCTGGGGGCAATGGGTTCTCCCTCAATAAAGGGCTCTCCTCAAAGGCTGAATGATGATTTATAGGATTAGTTGTTGAGGGAATTCCTCTACAGGTATTGGTTGGACTAGTGGGCCTCAGAGCTTTTTTTTTTTTTTAATTCTGTGATAAGAAAAAAAAAAAAACAACAACTTCCTAATGATCAACAGGGTCCAAGAATGGAATGGACTGCCATGGGAAAGAGTGGATTCCTCATCTTTGGAGGCCCTTCATCAGAGGCTGGATAATCACTTGACAAACACCGGTATAGAGGGGATTCTTGTCCAGGTACAAGCTAGATGAGACGGGCTCTGAGGTCCCTTCCAACTTAAACTCTGTGATCTTCCACACAAAAGACTTCACCCAAGGACACTACAAAACAAGATGGCACACTTTTAAGAGGATGGGGGGGTTGGGACGTACCTCAGCAGCCATCCATTCACCAAAGGCATCCCCACTATTTCATACCTGACAAGGGGTCAGCTGGTTGGAGGGGAACCTCTTGGGGCAGCCCATTCTATGTTGAGACAACTCTAATTGTTAGGAATTTTTTCCCAACATTCAGCCTCGGTTGGCATCTTCATAACTTCCCTCTGTTGCTCCTGGTCCTACCCTCCAGGGCCAAAGAGAACGAGCTCATCTCTCTTCTACGTGATGGCCATTCCCATACTTGAGGATAGCTCTTGTCTCCCCAGAACTGTCTCTCCACCGATGTCCGTATGATATGGATTCAAGGTCCTTCATCCTCTTGGTTAATACCCTCGGGAGATCTCTAGCTCATCAGTTGGGGATAGAATTTGTCACTTGTGCTAAATCAAGCAAAGAGACTATTTGGATGATCGATGGAGACGTCTTTGTCAGAAATCTTAGGCCTCAAGCATTTGAAATGCCTTTCTTAAGCATCTGCCATATGTTTAGCCCAGTTCTCAGACCTCCGACATAGAAGACCATATGGCCCCATCCTCCAAGAGCCTTCATCCTCACTGCTGATAACAGCTGGTGATTACATAGCTCCCTAAGGTTTGCAAAACACTTCACATAATTATCGCATTGGCTCCTCACAACTACAGGAGGCAGGTGATATTGTTATGTCCATTGTACAGATAAGAAAACTGAGACTGAGAAAGGTTAAATGATTGGCCCAGGGTCACATAGCTAAAAAGTGTGGGAAGAGGTAGGCAGGGAAGGCTTCTAGGGAGAAGCGCCTCTGCGTATGGAGGGCTAGAGAAGAGACAAAAGAGGACGCGAGGCAGAGGAAAGACCTTGACCCAGAGACCCTCGATCTCAACAAGTACTGACTGAGCTCTTGTGTGCAACCAAGACAGACCCATTAAGGGTCACAAAAACCTAGATTCAGAGCTGGACTGGACCTCAGAGCCAGTCCAACTCCCTCATCTGGCGGCAGAACTGCAGCCCAGAGAAGGTCACCTAGAGGACCCGAGACCTGGAGCGCATCTGGACCCTGGAAGACGTCAAATCCAACTCTCCAGTTTCACAGACGGGGAGACTGAGGTACAAAGGATCCGTGACTTGTCCAAGGTCCCAGAGAAGATGATGGGTCCTGAACTGCAGGACCTCAAAGGCCATCTAGTTCTACATTGGATTAGGGAAACTGAGGCCCACAGAGTTGGAATGGTGCACATAATCACACAGGTTATCAGGAAAGCTGTTGCTATGGATAAGGAAGCACAAAGTTTGGGTAAGTAAGGTAAGACCAAGGGCCCGATGGATATGAGCATTCTCAAGAGCCAAGCAAAGGAGTCTGCACGTGATCCCACACCAAGCAATAGTCACTGTGAGTTTCTAAATAAGCAAGTGACATAGGAGAGAACAGCTTCTAAGGGGGGAAAGTCACCCTCTATTTCAGGTTGTAAAGAAATCTTGAGGTTCCTAAACATGGGGAGGGGATGAAGAGGGAGGAGAGAGGGAGGGAGAAAAGAAAAGACAGAGGGGGGAGAGAGGAGGGAGGGGGGAGAGAGAGGGAGAAGGGGGGAGAGAGAGAGAGAGAGAGAGA